ATCAGGCTTTAAAACTTGTTTTTCCGAAGGGTAGGAGTTTTGCTAAGGTTTCCTCTCCCTTTTTTACTTTATTTTTTTCATGTTTCATGCACCATCCTTGAGATCTCAACATAGATACATGTGTTACCAAATAATAGCCAATAGGGGGCCAGCTCCTAGAGCTTAAGATTCCACTCTTAAGATCTTGTTGGGCACCACTGCAAAACTTTTCACAAACAACTTAAAAGTACTGTTTTATAAGCTTTTATGGTTTAAGAGCATTAATTCCATTTCAAAACTTTTAGTTAACATAAGAAGAAAGGAAATAGTAACCTAATCAGGACTATTGATTGCACTTCTCCACCCAGCTCACCACTAAAACCCAAGGGCCTGGAGCTCCCCAAGACAGATCCATAAATGGACGTCTGGGAGAGAGTCTGCCTACAACCAATGTTCTGTTCTAGAGCAGCTGTTTCTTCGCATCTTCCAGTCATTTCCTTCCAGTTTCCTTTTGCTGACATTTTCCTAAGCTTCCTGTGTGGGGCCTTTGTTTCTCCTTCTTGGTCTTGTCTGGAGTTACAGGAGGTCTGCGTCACATAGGGTGAGCAGTCTGAAGCACCTCACTTCCTAATGTTTGTTTCTGTCTCTTTCTGCTTCCTTCTCTTCCAATTGGTCTGGATGTGGTTTGGGGTATCAAGTCAGGCTTCCTTCCACATCCCACTTTGGTTAACTTGTCAGCCCTGCACCCACCCTCCCAGCCCCAGCACCACTGAGAGGCTTTCTATTGCTCATGCCTCACAGAAGTATCAAACAACAATAGCAATGAAGTGACCCGAAGTGTTAAAGAATAATTGGGTTTGAGCCTCAGCATGCACGAACAACCAGGCCATTCCATAAAATCAAATAATACATACTATTTTTTAAAAGGGGTGGTTCTAGCCCACAAAAATTAAATATACTTCTCAGAAGACTCTATTTTTCCCTTTCTTCCTAGAAAAGTAATTCATATTTTTCATAGAAAAAAATGTACAGAATCATTTTAAGCTACCTTCTGAAATGGATCATATTTACAGTATATAATGTTTAATGGACAAAGCAGGACAGAAAATTTTATTGTTTACATGATCACAACTATGTAAACAATAGATGCACAGGAAAAAATACTGGTAGGACATATACCAAATTTTAATATTAGCTGCTTTGGAGTGGGAAAATTATAGGGATATTTTTCTTTTTTTCTACTTGTTCTAAAACTTCTGGTTTTTCTACTATGAGCATTTATTACTTCTACAATTTAAAAAAAAATAATTGTTTCTCGAAAAGCTGTTTAGTGAGATATTGTTTAAAATCTTTTGTGGTACTTGTGCCAAGCCCACTGTCTGCCAGCCAAAGCTGGCGCAGCAGATACGGCACGGCCTCAGGCCCAGAGCACCAAGGGACCGGGGCTTTCCAAGCAAAAATGGTGATGCCAACCATAGCTATCACCATCCTCCCTAGGACCCCTCCCTATCTCCCTTTCATCCTCCCCCCATGAGGAAAGTTAAAATATACTCACATGCCCTGGCCAGGTAGCTCCATTGGTTAGAGCATCATCCCAATATGCCAGGGCTGTGGGTCCCATTTCCAGTCAGGGCACCAGGGCACACACAAGAATCAGCCCATGAATGCATCAATGAGTGGAAGAACAAACCAATGCCTCTCTCTCTCTACCCCATCCCTTTCTTTCTCCTGTCCTCTAAAATCAATCAATAAAGTAAAAATTTTTTTAAATGCTCACATAGTTCTTGCTTTAATAAGTCAGCTTCACGTCCTTTTTTCCTTCATCCAAATAGTCATACAACATAGTTTTAGCCAAGTAAGTTTCAAATAACCTTTAGTTAACACAGTCATGGCTGATAAATTATTGCAGGAAAATCAGCCTCAGTATGAGGGCCACTAAATCTGGCTGTCACACACAGCCTCGCTCACGTGCTTGGACATCACTTGCCGAGAGAGACAGAGTCACCTTCCAGGAGCTCCCGTCATTCACCTGAGATACCAGCACTCTTGTTTCACAGTCCTCGGCATGAACTTAACTTTTAATTGGACATCCTAATTTCTAACCAGGCACATATTTTTATTTTTTCAGATCCAACCCTTTAAAAGTAAAGTTTGCAAGAGAACAACAAATCAAGCCGCTCACAGCTTTGCTGATCTGGTGATCATTTAGGCATCCTGGTTTGCACTTGGGATTCCAGCAGGGCAGCTGAGACTTGGCCATCCCACTGCATTCCCACAGGTGTCTACTTGCCCCGGCCAGATGTGCACTTCCCTTCTCCCAAAATTTGCTGCTGCCCACTATTGACATTCTATTCTTAAATGATATTTAGTCCCCTCTATTTCTATACTTCTCTCAGGGACTAAATGGACCCTTGAACCAAATGGACCCTGCCTTCCTTCTTAATTTCTGTATTGATCCATTTCATCCACCTTGTCTTTTTCCATTTCCTCCAAATCCTGTGTCCTCTCCTTCCATTCTACCTGCCAAGAATATGAAGGAACTGCCCACTGAGGCATCCCACTCTGCACTGTGACAGCAACAGAATCAGATCCCAGTCCTACAACTGGCATTTGCCCTTTGAGCAAAACACCAAGTCCACACAGCATCCACAGAGAGTGGGGCCGTGACTCCTGACTCACCATAAATGTATTGCAATCTTATTATCAGTACCCGACGAGGTGGTTGGGGGCACTGGCTTGGATGAGCTTCCTAAATGTTATCCACCCAAGATCTCATCCCTCCAACCAACATTTCTGGTGTATAAACTAATAGCCAGTATGATTCTTGATGCTTTGACGGGTTAATGACAAAAACACAAAGTTAACATTCAGTGAAATTTAGAAGTCAATTCCTCAGTCACACTAGTCACACATCACACATTCTATAAACATATGTGGCTACTGGAGACCATAGTGAACAGTGCAGATATAGAACGTGTTCATCGTCACAGAAAGTTCTATTGAAGCAGCACTGATGCAGTTTCTGAGATCACGGCACACTCCCATCACACCATCTTAAATAATGCAAGTCAGCAAAGACATATACTTTGATCCCACATGTGTCAGCCTTTCCCTAGAGACCGAGCAGAATATGAGCACTTATAAAAGAGCAAAAGAGTTTGGAAATGGCCTTCGGGACAAGCTCTTTTCAGTTGTAGACTCCAGCTTATCATCTGACTATTGCTCACTGCCTATTGCCTCTTTTTCTGTCTCAGAGGTTCTTTTAAAAATCAATTATCATTTTCTTTGCATAAAGTCGGGTGACTTTCATTAATCCAAAAAAGTTCAAATTAACAAAAAAGCAAATGCTAGCATAAGGAACAAAGGTATTACTGACAAAACACTTGGATTAGGTCAGGCTATTATAATATCCTTCATACGTGTCTTCTTTACCCAGCAAGTACACAGTTTGAGAATGAAGTGAGTTTTTAAAGCCTAAAATTGAAATAATCCTGGTATTTCATAGTTTTAACACCCAACACTCCTCCCCCACCAAGAATCTGTCTTGGTAAAACATTCTTCAGAGCTAACATTCCTGGGAGCACGATGCAGTTTATGGATGAACATCTTCTATATCCTCCTAGCTTTGGTGGCTGCGACACTCATCCATACGGAGATGTTGGCTTTCATTTCTCCTTCCTCTCCCCCCTTCCAAAAGTCAATTATTCCTCTTACCTTATATAGCAGAAATATTAAAGGTGTGCGTATTGCCGGGTATGGACTAAGTTTCTGTTCCAGTTTCAGTAGCACCTCACGCAAGGAGCTCCAGCAAATCCCTGCTGGCTTGTGGCCAAGCTACCAGCAGCGCAGCCAGTCACCCCTGAGGGTGCTTCCTCCTCGCCCAGCTTCATTCCCCATGATTTCCCAATTGTTGTAACTGCTCTGTCCGGTGTCTGCCAAACGTGTCCATAACACGCCATGGGCCTCCAGGAAGCGCCCTGACCACTAGGCTCTGCAGGCCCACCCACTGTTGTTACTTAACACACCCTGGGCATTGTTTTGGTTTTCCCGGATTTCACATCAGCCTGAGCATTTTGTTGCCACTGCCACTGCCACCACCACCGCCACCTCACTCTCTGCAACTCCTAAGACTGCTTTGCCCTTGTGCTTTACAGGTATGTAAACTACCTCGGCTTTGCTGAGCCTGCAGAAACCAACCAGGAGAGTCCATGCTTATCTGCCTCCCACTTAGCCCAGACGCCTTCACGGACCCTCCAGGTGCCCTGGTGAGCTCACATCCAACGGCTTCATCAGGCTCCAACTCAAAAGAGGAGTCTAGGGCCCCCATGAGCCCTGAAGAATTAGAAAATGTGTGGGGAAGAGATTTGGGAAGTGTCCTCAGGCAGTTGTGAACAAGAATGTATGTGAGCAGATGAGAATTTCCAGGCCCATGGGAAGAACCACCTTCACTTCACCAAAGGAGCCCCTGGTCGCTTTGAAGGGCACTCACACCACAGCCACACGCCAGGAAAAGCTTCTGGTCTTTTCCTGAGGCCAGGGCATAAGATCCTAGAGGCTCAGCTCCAGAGGGGCCCCGCAGGGTATCAGAATGGGATATCGGTGAGCTTGGGGATTCTCGGGCCAGGCTGAAGCTGTGAGTCTCGATTCCACCACTCACTACACACCAGTGGAGTCGCCTCACTTGGTGCTGCCAGCGCCTACTTCATAGGACTAACAAGGTAACATGCGACAAGGCTCAAGCCAGAGCTGACTCAGAGTAAAATTGCTCAGGAGAAGCTTTCATTGCTTTGTTTGGATTGTTTTGCTTTTTAAATTATACATGGAGAGTCAACTCCTGAAGTCATAGTATTATAACTGATGTGGCAAAGAAATTTTATCTGAGTGGGTTTCGAGAAACATACAAGGCTCCCAGGGAGGAAGGGAAGACTTTCTTTTTAAAATATATTTTCTTCTTGTCCTCTGTATACCTGGGACTGTGGTACCCCTATGAGTGCAAAGGAAAGCGAGAGTTTGGAACCTACCCAACTCTAGTCTGTCCTGGTCTTCATGTTCATTCAGTTGAATCACCAGGCTTTTCACACACTGGAAAAGATAAAGTCAAGTTGTTGTTGTTGTTGTTTTTAATTACTATGTGCCACATTAATGTTTTATTATTTTTGTAAACTATAAAAACAACCTCAGAGAACACCAGTAGAGACATGTTCCATGTATCACCATACATGAACAGAAAACTAGCCTTGTCCTTAACTGATATTATTTAAAACCTAACAATAAGAGAAGGATCTGTCCCAAGCTGAAAAATGACTGCAAGCTATTCATAGGTTATTTTATTCTAAGAGACTCTCTCCCAGGTTTACTCTAGCAATCACAAGTACTGGCAAACATCTGCAGTTATCAATCCTCAAGTACAAATTTGTTTTGGAAAATGTATTAAGTCATCTTGCGTATAAAATACCAACCTAGAAAGATAGCTATGTATAGTCTTAAACAGTAGAGATAGAAAATTCAATAAAGAAAACTGAATTTCAAGTTATCCTGAATGTGATTTGGGGATTTTTTTCTTTTGTTTTGTTTTTTTTTTTAAATTTACGACCACTAGATCTTCATGTCTACTCCAACTCTGGAGAGAAGAACAGAGAAGAGACGGCAAGGAGGGCAGGGAATCATTACCTTCACATCCTCCTGCTCAGGCGATGATCTGCTGGACACCAAACTCTTAACCTCTGCAAAAGAAATAATTTTCATCAGGATCTGCTGATAGTAGCTTTTGTTTTTTATTTTTAAAAAAAGGAGCAAAAAAGAGAAACTAGGTGACAAATATAAATGAATTGCCCAGAAGCCGTCTGCATGGAGCTAGGTTTTTACATTAAGCTTGTCAAAAATCAACTCTCCGCCGAGCACAGTATCTCATAACCCTGCTGCCCACACTCCGGTATTATTCATGTGGACCAAGATGTAAACAAGCCCGGGAGCTCTCACAGGAAATCCTGAGGGGAAAAAAATGATCATTAAGTAAATAAATGCCCTTGATTCAGAAGGAAGGCTGCTCACCGATGGAAGTCTCTTCAACATAGCACTGATTCTAAGGACATGACTTATACCCACCTGAGGAAATCCCAGACATCTATTCCTCAAATACAGAAGATTTCATGTTTTTCAAAAGAGCGTCATTCATTCTGGCTGAAGTCTGGCCTTCCCTCGGGCATGGGTCAAAGCCGAGACCATCAGCACAGCCGTTAGACTCCAACCTCGGAAAGGGGCAGGCTCAGCATTGACAAGCCGCAGTCACGCTGGGTGCCCTCTCTCTGAATCAAGTCTTTCCAGGAAACCTCAGTGGTCAGGATGTTCTGGGATGTACAGGAAGGTTCACTTAAGGGGTATTTTTCTCTGTGCCTTGACTGATTGGTTCTCTTTCCAAACACTCAGTTGCCGGTAAACAAGAGCTACTGTTGTTAAATAACCACCAGCAGCGAGGTTGGGCCCAGGGAAAATAAAAGGGCTGGACAGTGCTAGCAAGGGCAGACAGCTAAGAATCTGTGCCCTGAATTCATATTAACATGTACCATTGCGGGCCCCAAGGCTCTGCTCTGGACCCTCAGCTGCCCTGCCCCCATGGCCCTGCTTGAGGCCGATGCCAGGAAACCGCACTGGTTTTCCCAGCAGGTGCATTAACTAATGCATCCCTTACTCCACTTTGCCACGCCTATTAATTTAAGTCACCTGAGAACTCAAACCCTGAGCAGATTTTTTTCAAGCTCTTCACACCACCTGGCCACAGTGTCAAGAGTTCTCACCCATATCTCTAGTTATAAAAGGTACAAGAGATTCATTTATACCTTAGGACAAGGATGGATCAGAGAAGTCAACTTTCTCACTGGAATGTTTTTAAAAAGTTACATAACAGAACTTTGAATTTGCTTTATATCAAACAAGTTATAAGATATTTACACTGCACAATAGTGTACTGTCCTTGATTTATATTAGCTCTGCAAGGAAAAATGAAAAAGGAATAGCCTCAATGTTGTGTGGTCATGTCAACTGACCTCAACAGGGAATAGGACAAAGCAGTAGCAGAAGAAGAGTCTGGGCAGATTTTGTTCCCGGCATCCCCGCCTACCTTTAAATGCACACCCCACACAAGGCCTCCAGGTGGCAGCAGAGTAACACCTGCAGGGCAGCATAATCAGCAGGGCATGCCAACTGGGCCAGCTTCACCCTTCAAAAGCCTGCTGTTTATGCTCCTTAATCCAAAGCTTTTCACCCCCACTGCACAGATGCAGAAAGTTGATGTGAAGCACCTACTATGTTGTTTACCACATTATATTAACATAGTAGGGGTTTTATTAAAAATTGGGTAAGTGGGAAAGACACCGCTGTGTTAAAAAGGAAGGGGAGGGTAACCAGCACCAAGGTTTCAACAGACAGATTTACACAGACATCAGGAGTCACACACATTTTTATTTTATCTGTTATAAAATATTCCTTTAAAGCCATTTCAGTCCATGCTCTTAAATTATGATGGTTCCACATTTCTAAAGAATTCTATACCTACATTAGTGGTTCAGAAGAACAGTACAAATATTGTTCAAGACTGCTAATGAAGAAGGCTATATTGTGGTAATCCAGCTTGCGATAACAAAGCACGTGCATTCTTCTGGCAGTACATTCACACTCCAGCTTCCTGCCCCTCCCAGAAAGCTAGTCTTTGTACATTGTCAGTCTATGGTTTTCCTTACCATCTAATATAATCTTGTGGCATTTGCAAACAAACTATATTTAAATAGACAAGTCTTCATAAAATTTGTACTCCAGCATGTAAAGATTAACTTACAAAGTTATAAAAACCTTTATCCTAAAATCATTAAGATATTTGTGACAGTGTATACATTCAGGATAATAATGTATCTTTAATTGATCTAGGTTTATACAGAACTACATCTTAGAGCTTTCAAAGAATTTGGCACTCATTCTACTGGGGTTTAATTAAATTGCTCCAGGAGAGTTTCTGCTAAATTACTAGGATCCTTTTACACTCACCCACCGTACCACCAACTGCACAGTGCAATCAAACCACTCATTGCTATAGCAACCTTCAGTAGATAATGATATCAGTAACTCCAAGCTATTCTGTTTTAAAGACCTATTAATCTTGCCTTCAAGGCCCACCCAGAAGTAAGGATTACCCCCTCTAAATCACACTTATCAACTCCATAAACATACTTTTTATTGCCAAACTACAATATAATGGAATGAGAAATACTCTCTAATAATCATGTTTACCAGTGACACTGCTCTAGAGAACAGGGTTTTCGAAACAGGATTAAGTAGCTATAAGATTAACATCAATATCTTAAGAAACAGATTGGCCTAACAGATCTCAACTCTGTGCACAAACCTGTCTCCTCGTGAAAAATAGGGTCACAGAGGCTAGACTCATGCAAAAGGAAAAAAAAAAAGCTTACATTGAAAATATAGAATGCGTAGTATTCTCCTTTAACTGCCATTTGCTGTGCCACCTGACTCGCCCCCAAGGAGGAGGCAAGAAGAACCATGACCAGAGCCAGCCACACAACTACGGCCATTTCATCCCTCCCCTCGGGTTCAACTGTCCCTGGCTGGGTTAGACTTGCAGGACAGCAGCAAAAGCACAACTGGAAACAAGGGCCACGCTCTCAGCTTGTTCTACCCTCTCCACAAATGCCCATAGGAACCCCGAGGGTAGTTCATAGTCTTCTGAATCCTCTTCTCCCAATAGACTGTGAGTTCTGGAAAAGGTGGGTCCAAATCGATTTTCGTCCAACACCTGGTATCTCCAGCGCCAAGCAGAATGCCTAGCACATTACAGGTACTGACTAAACGCTTCTCTCCTCCACCTAGATATGGCCCAAAACAGCTAAAGAGATGTGGTAGATCACTAGGCAAGCTAAGGGTCAGCCAGGGACAGGAAAGTTGAATTACTACCTCAAACACTTCCAATACTAGCACTATTTTATCACAGCTTCTGCACTGCCAGATTGATCGGACAGATGAATGCTTTTCCCCTTGCTTCCTCTCACCCCTCTACCTCTGTGAGACCAAATCCACCCTTTCCTCTCCATTTGTGCATTCCTGTTTCACTTACAATGACTTCACTTGCATGTATCACTTTAATGCGTTAGCCTTGTGTGCATGTCTGATTCACAACTGTCAGAGAATCAAAATGGTGAAGGGAACAAATCTGATAAACTATCTAGCCCTCCTAAGAGGATACCACAACACTCTGACCTCTGGTTTCAGTATCCCAAATGATATTTTTCCCTAAAAGTGGGATACAAACAAGAATAAATACGGACTGGGAGAAACAATGAGGCACTTCTCTACAGACATACCCATGTGAGCCCTGTCAGTCCACAAGCCCCAACATTCCATTTGAGTCAACAAGCTGAACCAGGTCCCACAGAGCCACAGCATCGGCAGCCCAGGAGGGCACGTCAAGGTGAGAGAAGAAATTCCTGCCCTCCGGCAACTCAAACACGTGTTCCTTTACAATATAACTTTTGTATTTGTACTCTGCATTCTTTCAGAAAGAATTTAAGATATCCTTTTGGAAATAACATTGTTTAAAATTATTTGTGACATTTTTGAGCCAAAGAAAATAACTGTTTAAGAAAATTTGAAAAGGACTACGAAAGAGTAATCAACAAAAGCATTGTTAATGTTTTAGTATATATTCCTTCTTCCCCATGCATATATTTTTGTCTGAGCTTTATTGAGGTATAAGCCAATACTATGGAATTCATCCACTTAAAGTGTACAGTTCAATGATTTTTAATATACTTGAAGTTGTACAATCATCACCACAATCACTTCTGGAACATTTTTATTGCCCCAACTTGAAACTCCCTACCCATCAGCACTGACTCCCCATTCCTCCTCAGCCGCCCTCTCTCACCCTGGTCCTGGGTAACCGCTAGTCTACGTTTCATTTGCAGAGATTTGCTATTCTGGGTACTTTATATAAATGGAATCACACAATATGTGGTCTTTTGTAACAGGCCTCTTTCACATAGCATCATGTTTTCAAGGTTCATTCATGCTGTAATGTATCAGTACCTTATTCTTTATTGCCAAACACTTCCTTTTGATTACAGATTTGTATACAAAATTGAATACAGTTTTTTAATATTTGTATATTGTATACAGTTTTAAGTATACACCACATTTTACATATCCATTTCACAGCTGATGGGCATTTGGTTTGTTTGCACTTTTTGGCAATTATGAATAATGCTTCGATGAACATTTACATACAAATTTTTCTGGAGATGTTTGTTTTCATTTCTCTTGAGTATATATCTAGGAATGTAATTACTTGGTCATATGATAACTCCATGTTTAGTATGTTTTTATAATACAGATTTCTTTATATCTAGTGCCTAAACACACACACACACACACACACACACACCCCCCCATAAAATCTCAAAGAGTGATGAGTTTATTCATGGAGAAAAAAAAAGATACCCTCAGCCCCAAAATTTGGTTACAGCTGTCAACTAAGCAAAAGCTCTAAATCATTATATCTCAAATTGAAATTAGGACATAATTTTCCTAATTTACTCAATTTCTTGAATAAAATGAGGCAAGTCAGCTTTCAAAGAAAAACAGATTCTGGTTTGTTTTGGGAAGTTTTATGTCCCTAAGACTTGCCACTTAGGGCCTACTTATATTCAGGAAAAAAAAA